ACCATTAGTAATGACATTTAATACCAAATCGATGCATTAACAGAAACATGCAAATGGTTCCAAAAATTTTACAATAATTATAACATAATATAAATTTTATTGCTATCGGTTTTGTTATTAAAGAATAATTAATTTTAATACAAGAACACTAAATTATCTGACTGCTGTGAAACGCTTTCAACCGAGTGAAAAAATCACTGGTATCAAGTCAAGTCTCACTGAAAATACACTTCCCCTTGTTTAAACAACAAGCAGTGGACATGACTGAACTTCTGTTTTTGAGCAGGTAAATAAGACACCTGTATGTGGGGGGTTGTAGCGGCAAACAGGTCAAAAACATGGAARTAAACTGTGACAGTTTTACCTGCAGTTATCATGGGATTTGTAGTTTAATCATGACCAGTACTTAGCATCATGAAGACAGATCGTGTCAACCTCTGATTACGACTCTTAACTTTCTTTATTTATGCAGCCAACTGTTCTCAGGAATGAACAAAAGTAGAAAGATTTAAGACTTGACAAAATTAAATTTAAGACCTTGGGTGAAAATCTGGGCATTTTTAAGACTTTTTTAGGCCTAAAATTTTGATTTTCATATTTTAGACTTTTTAAGAACCAGCATGAACCCTGTGAAAAACATGATTTCAAGGCCCTGGAAAGTTTGTGAAGTGGTTTAAGTGGATAAGCTCTCTCAGACATTATGACACGCCTGGTGATGCTTTGCACTGCACGATGAACTGTGCCCTGACAGATGATGAGAATTATGATGTCCTGTGGGGTGAATTTCAGAGACACTGTGCGGACACTGGTGAAAACCCGCTGRTGGGAGCCGGGGGACATTTTTGTGGCTCCTGAAGGGGTTGCAGCAGAAGTGAAGCTGTCATCACCGCTGAAGGAGCTGTATGTGCTGAGTTCTGGTTCTGCACCTCATGTCGCTTTGAAGGTGGCTGCAGGCTGTGAGAGAAAGTCGTTGGGACCTTTAGTCAGATCTTGCCTCATGCTGGATGACTGGGTGGACATTAACACAGATTTGCATTATTCACATTCGACAGGCGAATACAGGATAAACACGCACTTCTTTCACGACACTTATTCCTGAGAAAAAGAGGGTCTGGTAAAACTGAACGTGTGCGCCTGACGTTCTAGGTGCGTGCGGTGACCCCCCCACCCCGAACCCCGCCACCTAAAAAACGAATCCAGCGCTGCTGGTTATAGGTGGCTGTAATATGAGCCACTCAAAGTAGATTGAATGGCAACTAAATGACAGTTTAATAATAACATTAGAGAATTACCTCCACCAAGGGTTTTCATTAAATTTTTACCACAGGTGGGTATTGGCCAAAGGAACACACCTTTACGTTTCAGTGATGTTCCGGATCACGATACGGATACAGCAATGTTTTATGTAATTCAGGTGAATCAGACAGGCTACGCAAAGTGTATTTATATTAGATGCAACTCAGTAGCAAACACGAAAAACAAGTCGCAACGAACGAACTTCACGAACGTGTTGCTGGTATCGGCAAAGTTCTAATTACTCTGTTATCAACTACTTTTGGCGATGTTACATGCTGTCTGTAGACATAGAAAAAGAAATGCAATTCTCTTCACATTACGGGAATATCTGAGAACACGCCGACAGCGGGGTCCAGCTGCAGTCGTGGGTGCAGCTGAGCCGAAGCAAGCTGCTACCAGAACAGGAGGCCAGCAGGAACAGCTGATCATGTGAGGCAAAATTGAGAACAGAGGAGGCACCAGAGGAGCAATATGGCCTAGGCGGAGGTTTGCGCTCTACAAGTGCTTCTAGTTATTCAATTAATTTCAATTTATTTACATAGCACCAGGTCACAACATATGTCAAGTCAGGTACCTCCCATCTACGTATCGTCACCAGACGATATGACACGGACATGGAAGGGAGGCGGGGGGTACAACAACACAACAGGAAGGGGGGCAAGAGACAAAAGCCTCTTTCATACTGTAATGCTGCGTTCACACCGAACACGATTTCAGCTTCAGAATCGCATCCAACGCTTCAAGTTGGACGCTTGTGCAC